GCTTAGAGGGAGCATTGGTCACCAGTTGCGAAGGGGAATCTCTCCCTCGCTGCACCATTAAAGGAACCCCCCACTGCTTACCTGCGGGGAACTTCTTGCCCGGCGTACTTGACAGACACCGTGTATGGCCCGTCTGTGGCGGGGGTGTAGTTGACCGTGTGAGTGCCGTCCCCGTTGTCACGCACTTCCACTGGCTCGGCCATCCCTGGGGAGGCAGGAAATAGGCTCACAGAAAGGGAAGGAAACACACCTTTGCCCCTGGATTGCTGTCAGTACCCCTCAAGGGCACAGCCTCAGAGTATCCCGCCCCTCCACCCAACTTCAGGTACCCCTGAAATCTGGTGCCCCCCCGTCAGGTAAGCTCGGGCCAAGAGAGAGTGCCTGATCCATGGTCGCCCTACGAGCTGTCTAGCTGAACGGGATTTGAACTCAGGCCCCCTAGATCAGTGGTGGCGAACCTATGGCACGGGTGCCAGAGGTGGCACTCAAAGCCCTCTCAGTGGGCATGCGTACCATCGCCCCAGCCAGGCCCAGACCATCATTAAAGTGTTGAATTCTCTGCCAAATAATGTTAAGTAAATGAAAGCACTTGGGATTGCTTTCCTTACTATGTTTGGATCATCTTAAGTTAATGTATGGGTTGTTTTTTCTAAAGTAAAACCTCAGTATCCAGGTTAAATTGCCGCATTGGCACTTTGCGATAAATACATGGGTTTTGGGTCGCAGTTTGGGAACTCGGTCTCTAAAAGGCTCGCCATCACTACCCTAGATCCTAGTCCCACCGCTGCACCCGTCAAACTTCAGGGTCGTGCTAAACCTGGGCCGTACCGAAAAGGAAAAAGGATAATCTGCGCAGAAGGCCAGCCTGTTCCATTGCCGTACCTGAGGGTCCCAAGACCATCACCTCCAGAGGGGCGAGTCCAGCCTTGCTGCAGTCCACAGTGAAGGTCTGGGGGACGCGAGCTCTCACGCCAGCACCCAGCCCGGGGCCGGAACACTTCACCTTGCCGGGGTCCACCACGTCCTTGACGGGAACACGGAAGGGGCTCCCTGCAAGAGGAAGAGAGGCGCGTGGTTGGTCCCCTCGAGGGGGCCTGTTATGTACGGACAGGAGATTATGCATTTACACGCACCTGCCTAGGATATCTATATGATATTAGGCTGGAGCTTCAGGCACAAGCTCCATAGACACCAAGGTATTGTAGACCCGGCTGTCGGATTGGTCCCTGTGCGAGGCAGACCAATCCAGGGGACTCTGATTCTGGCGGGAACGAACCCCATTGGTCCCAAGCCGGCAAAGGTGATGTATTACATTCTTACACTGTAATGCTGCAAGTATGCCTGAGCTTCTGACGAGGCTCCATAGAAGCCTGGTATTCTAAAGTGCACGTTCTGATTGGCTGCGTTGCACAGTGGGCCAATCAGAGCGTGGGAATGGTTCTGGAGGGAACAACACTCATTGGCTGTTAGGTACACATTGTGATTGGTTGTTAGCTGTCTTGGGGGGGCGTGGCTTGGACCATTCAAAT